GCTTTCAGACTGCACCGAGCACTGCCCTGTGGTCCTGTACTCCTCCGGTCTGAATTCAGGCCCAGGGTACCCCAGTATCATTCTTAGAACTACTGTACGAACTATATTTTACTTTCAAGTGACACATTGTTATTTTATTTCTTAAAATGGCAAAGTATTTGCACAACTCACCCCATCATCCAGGCTGACTTAAAATGGGTTACAAGAACACACTACAGGTAAGGGCGATAATAACCCAGCAGTACAGGTCACACACACAAGCACGCAAGAAAGCTTACAAACGAGAGGAAGCCATCGGGCCAGTCTAGCTCATTTATTAGGTAGTAGTTATTTGATCCTAGGATCTCATCCAGCCACTTCTGTTGGAAGAAACCAGGGTACTAGATTAAAAAAACGTGGTTGGGTAGCTTGTTCCATACTCTCACCACCCTTTGCATAAATACACACTTCATCATAATACAATGTGTTACTTTGCCTTATCAAAGTAAGCAGAAGGTATTGATATGGCTTTGAGCAAGAATGAGAAAATGTGGAATATTACTGCAAATGCACAGTGGGCAGGTTACAATGCAAACAGAGGCCGGGGACACATCTGCTAACTTTTAAGGGTTCATCACTGGAAAAGGCAAAGCACGCCCTTGGCAGCTGAAAGTTCAAAGAGCTTCATTAAGCTTCAAAGGCTGGCCTGCCCGTCACACCTGACCTCTCTGTACTCCAGGCTCTTGGTTCCCACACATTCCCTTCACACACTTTGCCCAGATCGCTGGGCTCCTGCTCTCTAATCTCTACAGAAATCTAAAAAAACGGGGGCATTTTCAAAGAAGCAAACAGAAGGAACCTGTGCTTTTGTACCTACGGTCAAGGACAGGTTTACCCACTGCGGAGGGAATAACACTGAACTGGCTATAATAAAGGGAAATGCCGAAACAAACAAAAGTCGACTGTTTTAGCGCAGTCGCGTCACACCGCTCCCCGTTCCTGAGAACGAACAAGAGTGTGCACACCTCCAGCCGCCTGTCAACACTCCTGTGTTGGAAAGAAGCGGAGGTGGTTCTGGACAAACAGATCAATTTAACGGAAAGAAATCCCACCTGAGGAGACCTGTGCTTGTTCTCCTGCTTCCTGAGATAAGGGCTCATGCGGCCGAAGACAAATGGTGCTACTATGTCAAAGTCCCGCGTTTGTTGTTTTTTTTTCCGCTTGTTTTTTTCTGAGAGATTGCCTCTGAGCTCCACCAGCAGCTAGGAGGAGATCTGCACTGCAATCTACACTAAACCCTCAGCTATTCCTCAGGGAACAGCGGCTCTTCCTAATAGACCTGATACAAATCATTATTTTTACGTGTAATAAGCAAAGGTTAATGAAAAGAATATCCAGTTTAACAGATTGGTATCTTTATCTGATGTTGCGAAGAAAAACAATCATGTCATTATCTCCTAAAACAACCCTTCCCAACTTCCAAACTTCAGAAAGATAAGAAAACTAAGTTAATCTGCCATTTAAAAATGACATCAAATTTAACTTCCAGGATGCAAATCTTAATCCAGACAACTTCAAGAAACCACTAGCCACAGGTGACATCGCAAACAAACTTTGACAAGTTATCAAATCAAAACTGATCCAAGTCAGTTACAGTACTTCCAGGTTTTAGATCAAATGCACAAGGAAAAACACTGATGGTGGACCCAAAGCTTAACATTGCGCATATGATCAAATGAACACGCAGGCAGATCTTTACTCGCTGGGCACAAGAACACTCACTGGCAAGCCAAGACTCAGGTGCCAGCTGGACACTGCCTTGTCGACAATGATTGTTGCTCACCATGAGTCAACGTGTACGCTACATTTTAAAATCCTAAATCTAGTCTAAATAGCTACCTTTGCACTCAGTTAAACAACTTCTACTGTATTGTCTAATAACATTTGAAACATTATAGAAAAGGGAGATTTTTACTGAAAGATGGGGAAGCTTTAGGGAGTAAAGATTGTATGTTTGGCTTACTTTATTTTCTCATCTACCAATCAAATATATCCTTAAGTGAATCTGGACTCAAATTCGTATTTTAATAAAGCAGAGCGGAGAAATACGTCCTCACAGCAGCACTGGACATCAGACACGCATTTCCCAGCACGACACTTACAGAATATGACCTGCGCCATAGCGCGGCACGCGTGCTTCCCTGCCTGGCTCCACACCGCGGTTCAGGCTTCAAGCCCTCCCTGGAGCCTGAGCTGCGCTTCAGAGTGCTGATGCACTGTTATCAGGGACTCTTCATCACATTGCAAATATCTTTGCTACAGGGATTCTGGGCAGCACCCAAAGGACCAGACATGGCTTAAGTCTCCTACGGGCAGAGCTCTGGGATAAAGCCCACTTGGTCAGTTGCGACCAATTTCCATTAACAATGACATTCCATGTCTTGTTCAGTTCATTTACAAACAGGATCTTCATACGGTGGTCTTGATTCTTAAACCAACTCCAGAAACATGGGAAGCAAGGCATTCGTATCACTGTTGCTCTCTTTGCTAGGATAAGGCAAACTAGTTTGGGGAATTTCTAGCAATGGTCCTTGCCCGGAGTGATACCGTGGAGCTACTGTACAGTAATAATCGGGGTTAAAGGTTAGAGCCGATCATGTTTCCCCTGCCGTCCCAGGGTTGAGCCATTAGCCGAGGTGGTTGTGCATGTCCCTGAATAAACTACACCCAGAGGCCACAGTTAAACAGGCTCTTACTGCCCCTGGTTGAGAGAAGACGCAGACAGCTGCAAAGGTTACATGTCAACACAGAGAAACAAATGGCTTCTGTCAATCCGTATATGTTACCATGGCACATTGTGGGTCTTTTCAGGACGGCAAAGGAATGACGCCTTGGTGGCTAAGAGTTTAGGACAAAAACTTCCGTACAAATAGCAAAAACAGCCAAGTTAGAAACAGCCATATGAACGTACGATAAAGAAATGGGTCACGTTAAAGATAAACTTGGTGGCTCAGACAAACAGAGGCCTAAGTAGGCCTGAATGGTGTCTTGTTTAACTCAGCCACAGTTCCACTGCATCTTTAAAGGACTGAGTAGCAGTTATTAACTTATTGCTTCTGTATGGCATCAGCTTTCTAATGTTGTTGGGTATATAACACTGACATTAAGGGGGCTCATTGAGGGTGCTTGTCTGAGAAGGATCGCTGCTGGCATTGCATTATATGTATTGTGGGAAATATTGTATTGTTTCCTATAGTATGATTTTTTTGCACTTTAACGTAAATAAATTGAACACTTATTTTATTGTCGTTTGCATTCCCCTAATGTTATTTTTTAACAATTATCCCAAGTATGCCAAGGTTGCAATGGAAATTTATAACAATGATGTTACAGCAAATATTCAAAACAAATCAAGCTTGGTATTTCCAGGTGATACAGGAAGAAAAAAGACAATAGGTTGAGCTTAGGGACGAAGAAGAGGCACTTTCCTCGATGATGTCACTGCAGGCCTGCAGTGCTCAGAAGGTCACAAGGGTCAATGTCCTTTGGGTGGTGAGAGCAACAACGTAAGGAGCAACAGTCGAGTTACCAAGCAGCAGCAGCTTGAATGACATCACAAAAGAGTGTGTTAAATTGTTGGAGCCCATTCATTGTGTTATGGTCAAGGAGCGACTCTCATTTCAATGTGACACTGAAGGAGAAAGATGTGGAAACGTGGTCTGTCTAAGCTCATTTCAGGCACGTTCCAGCATGTGACAGATCAGCATTCCTTTTTAAGCAAGATATTGAGCGGTGCATGAATATCCGGCAATCAATATCTGGTTTTTTAGAAACAGTATTGAATTTTGTTTCCAGGAATATAACATTCCATTCATAGCCTTTTTATAATGAATTGATGTAGGGTTCCACTGAATCGGTATGTATTTAATTTACAGTAGGCTTTGCACATTATCCATCTTGGTAAAAACATGATGGAGCATTGCACTACTGGCCTGTTTAAGCTGTTTTTACATTTCTCCTTCCACCTGATCATTTTTTGGATCAATAACTACAGTGGCTGGTTTGGGTGGCCTTGAACTGTTCTCTGTGGACAATATTATACCCTACCAGAAGTCTGCCGTTTAAGGGTAACCTACAGGCAGTGAAGCTTTTTGAATGGTGTTCATTTTATTAACAATTCTGTTCATGTGCTCTGGTGGGTCTCATGATGACTCTCAGTGTACACGAACCAAGATGAAGTTGTTTCCACTTGATCCAGGCTGCTGAAGATCAAAATGCGCAAGAAGGCAAAAATAATATGATTATAAATACAGTGACCAGCCTAGGTAAAAAAAACAGTTTTTGATGTAAATCACAATGAGTACCCCCTGGGACTTCACTGATGTACTGTATAAAACAAATTATCAGCAAGTTGAGCACATTATTTACACTCTGTGACCAACAGCTAGGGTTACTCTTAAGTACTCTTAAGTCAAATTAATGAAAGTGTCTCTCATAAACACAATAGCACTGTTTTCTTAAAAATAAAGAAAAAGTATTCCAAATAACATTTTAGGAACAGTTCCCAGATATGCAAAATTCTCCCACAATTTAGGAAAGGATTTTTTTTTAAAATCAGACAGGGCTGAATAATGCTGT